GCCGAAGCTCAGACTCTGGCACAGGATCGGGAACGTTGGAAGCTCTGTCTGACGCGTCTGCCTCCGTGACGAGAAAGGAGAAACGGCCATGGAAGATGAAGATGAAGAGACTAAACATTGTCTTGCCACCTCTCTTAGTTGAGTCTGAGATCTAAGTTCAGTTTGTTTGCGTTCAGAGGAAAATGGAAACTGGTGGCGGCACGAATTAGCTCGCCCTGCTGTCACAATTGTGTGTGACATTTTCTAGAACGAGTAGTTTTTTGACCTTGAAATGCGATGAATTTTTCTATCCATAGCTGTGTAGGTGGTATATCACTTAAAGGCCCCCTAGACATCTAGAAACATTGTGGGATTCGATATGCCTTACAAACTCAGAGAATGGCATCAATTGTGTCTAATTTATTTATGCATAGGCTAAAACTTAGACCAACCTAAATATCGTACTTTATCCAGGTCCCAAGAAAAATGTGCATATCAATTACAACGTATTTGTCGATTTTGTGAGGCAGTCCGCAGAAAAAGTTGGAACTTTTTAGTAAACAGGATGAAACATTTGCTACCTTCGCCTCCGCAACGTAGAGCTGTGTAGTTTCACTGTTGAAAACAAGTGAAAACAGCTATGACAGGGGAGCTATGCACTACTATTGGCTTCTGTTAGTTGCTGGCAACATGTTGCCATGCATTTAACTGATTGATTTGAGAGTCATTGCGTTTCTCACAACGAAGTCGAAAATCATAACAGTGCATACCTGTCATTCCCGCAGACTCAGACACGAGAAACGACGCGTAGCTCATCAATATGAATAGAATGGTTTCGAGCAGGGTCGACTTGGAGATGCGAGTAAACTTTGTGAAAAGAGCGGTTACACAGCCAAAGAGCGCGCCGATGCCGAGCGAACCGAAAAACACAGCAAAGAAGCTTCCGCAGCTGGACAGAAACGCGTGGCCGTCGAACCAGTGTTCACCGTCTGCACCGGAAGGGGAGTAGTTTTCGATCGTTCTGAGCAAACATGCATAAGTGGTGACTAGGGAATGCAACGTACACAATAAAATGTTTGTCTACTTGCAAAGTACGATGGCAACGGCGTCGTTCAGCGCGCTTTCTCCGAAAACAAGAGCGAAGAGATCGACATCCACTTTGAGGTCATTAAATATCGCAAGTACGGTCACTAAGAAACCATAAACAGTGAAACGGTAAAACCAGCTTGTGCATACCTGGATCCGTCGCAGAAATGACGGCCCCGAAAAGAAAAGCTTCATTCAAAGCAAATGGCACCCTTGTGAGGATAGTGACGCCGTACACAATGACTCTAAAATGAATCGAAATTTGCATTACGCAATCAACACAGTGCATCTTTTTCGCATCCCACCGTTCGTTCACGTTCCAATCGTTTAAAAAGTGCTCAGTGAGATTAGACACCCAACGAAGAATAAAGCGACAAAAGCTCCCTTGATTTATTTTTTTCTGTACGAATACAGACGGTGAAAACGAGGCCAGTCGAACTATTTCCACTGATCCGATCGTTTGACACTACATGCACTACAGGCAACCATTTGCTTTACCGAAATGGTCGCACCATCAACAAATAGGGGTGGAAAAGCAAAGAAGTTAATTTTCTTAACTTTTCATCAACGCTTAATCTTGTCTCTAGGAATGTCCCCCTCGCATGATGCAAGCCTGAATTCATTTTTACTGCACAGGGTAACAGGCTGTTTCCAGACGAGTCAACATTTTTCTGCTGTGAGACAGAAACGACCTATAAAGCCAGTTAATAATTTAGGCATTATACAGAGTTGTGTCTGGATTCTTCAACTTTCAACATTTACGTCAAGAGCTTGAGAACAACAAACCTTACAATGCGAGTTAAATATGCGGATGAATTAATCATCTTAGCTGCTCGGAAAGAAAAACAGGCCATAATATTCCCGAGAATATATTAGATTCAGCAGTAGCTCATGAAGAATGATCTGAAAATTAATCAAGAAAATATCAAGATGGTATTGACTGTGAACAACATCAGATATGAAAATCTTCTACCCTTATCGAATAGAGCTGTCACAATTGATTGACTGTTTACGTAACTAGCATGTTCATCTATCAAATATTTTGGTCGAATCACGGAGCTATAACTTTTAAAAAGATGCTGAAGGCACTGCATTGTTTATCACGACTACAAGAATGTCATGCATCATGCAGTCCTACTCAAGATATTCATCTGTTCGTTGGCAACTGTACCAGAACAGGACAGCTAAGTCGTTAGAGCGTAGGATCAGACTCACAACCGATAGATATCGAGTTCGAGCCCCGATCAGGTCACTCGCGTTTTTTCCTTTCGAGGCTCATAAATGAGTACCACTTTGTGGAAAGGAAACAACACTTCACGCCATGTTTGCCAAACCGCAGTATATTCTGTCTTTCAAAAAGGCACTCCTCGCCGATGGCGCAGGAACAGAGATCAACGACATACAATAAGCTTTATGAAATGAATAGCGCAAAAAAAGTTCCAATCATGAAACTGTCACAGAGAACGACATCCAAACGGTTAAAATATTTCCTTTCTTTCTTTTTTGAAACTGCATCGAATCAGTCAAATTATTTACAAGTCCTGCAATCTACGTTGCAAGCATAAAATACGAACCAGAAGGTACATCGCCGAGCAGTACTACTGGCCTTGGCTAACAACAAAACCGACAGAAATTAATTTGCCGCGCCGACTACAAACTCTCTCATAAGGGTCTCAAATTTTGACCAGTCAATTCTAGAACTGCCTTCTGTACGGGAAGTGTCTAAGATTCAGTTCCGTACAACCTGTTGCTATGTGCAATTTTAATACTATTCCATTCAGAACTGCGTTGTGCAACCTCGTCCGTTATTTTCAGGGTAATGAAAAATCTCGTCCAGCAAGAGAAGCACATGCTAGGTAACACATTCCCAGCAAGATGAAACCACAATTATTTAGATGCACAGCGAAAGGCTTCTGGCTCTAAACTTACGATCAGAACTATCACCGAACTTTAAGAACATTTCAATCTTTAAGAAGACCGGCAGGACTCGGCCTGAAAAGTCGGTACCGGTCAATCTCCCAAGTGACCAACTTCATTACCCTGTGCGTAAATAAACAGTGTTTTATGCTGCTTTCACAATGATCTTTCTTTCAGAAACGCATTTCGGAAGCTGTCTAACAACAATCTACTGTCCCAACATATTTAGCATTTGCAGAATATATTTACCTAACCCTGCATTACTGTAGAGCGGTCGGTTTTTCCTGCAGGTTCGCCTTCAGCCGAGTAACGCTCGATGGATACTTAACCACGACACACTGGTCAAATCGATAACGGTGCCTCTACAGAGAAGGTGAAAACTAAACGCAGCAAAACAACCTGATGCCCGTTGTCAAGTGCTCGTTAAACATCGTTTCCCGGATCTGTGACGACGGATCGCAACTGTAGATTCCGGATATGAAAGAACACTCATCAGTAAAGTTCGTCTACTGCTTTCGCGGGAAATGAGTAGTTCCCGTCATTCGCCACACAATACGTTTACTGC